TTAATGCAATAGTCCAATACGGAGACCACCGAACACAGATCCAAAAAAAGATGAGAGCGCTCTCCCTCCCAGTAAAAAGATGACAGAGTTCTCTCTCTCAGCATTGCATCGCTGTTCCTGGTGGGTGAGGGCACACAATGTAAATACTTTGGGTCTGATAGGGTGACAACACAGGCGTACAATTGGGGGACAGGGGCAAAACATTGTCACCCTCTATTAGGAAGTACCTAAACAAGGACATTGATGGCGGATCACCAGGGATTATTTTAATTAAAGCTGCAGATTTAAAAAAAAGATACAGGGCTCAATCACACACAGGCGTTCAGTTGGGGCACAACATTGTACATGAGTGATATGAGTTAACGTGTGTTGCTGTAAGGTAGCCCATTCATTATAAATAAACTGCCAACGCACCATAACAGATAAAAAAAATAATGCATGACACTTTTTTTTTTTAACATTGCATTGCACCACAACGCAACGAGTGGCGATGCACTGCCATGCATAGTGAGTTGGGCTATAGTGTACAGTGCGTTACAGTGCTATTCATAATCAATGACAATGCATATAGAGCAGGTACATTGCCACGCATTGCGGCTACACGCAGTAAGGTGGATGTTTTAGCATGCGTTGCCACAATGGACAAGTGTGAATAGGTTCCATTCATACCATATAGGGCCCATTCACACAGTGCATGGCAATACACCCGCTCTATATGCGGCGCCATTCATTGGATTCCCAATGTACTGTACAGTAGAGATCAATGCATTGGCAGCCCATTCCATCCACTGTAACAGATCATATCGATAGCTGCGCTATTGGCACCTATAGCAGACTGTTTAGAGTGGAGCCCCGGGGGAGTGGGGGGGGTGTGGGGGGGTATGGAGGAGTCCAGTATAAATGTTCCTTCAAATATCCCAAGCCTATTGGGAGCGTCCTCTTCACAGCGGATCGGCAGACATTCCGCGCTGATCTCCTGTGCTTTGGTATAAACAGTTTCCTGGAAACGTGAACACGCAGAGGTGCCCCCCCCGGGAACAAATCTTGTGTAATCAGCTCAGAGATGTTTCCTTGACTCTCCTCCCGCAGTCTCAGGTGAGTGTCCCCTCGTGCGTCATTCAGTGTCTGAGGAGGAGCAGGTAAGTGACGGCATTTCCTGCCGATCTCCGCACCGCAATATGCAGCAGATAAACAGATGATTGTGAGCTCTTGTGTCCGGTCTTCATTAAAGGGGAACCCCAGCTTTCCCTACCAGAGCTAAATATGGTACAGCAAATGTGAAGCCCTTTACTCCAGTACAGAGGGGTGAGGCCTTATATAGAAATTGATAGACAAATAGTTCTTAAAGCTGACCTCCGTCCTCCCCTTCCGTCTTATATCTGACCTCCGTCCTTCCCTTCAGTCTTCTATCTGACCTCCGTCCTCCCCTTCCGTCTTCTATCTGACCTCCCTCCTTCCCTTCAGTCTTCTATCTGACCTCCGTCCTTCCCTTTTAGTCTTCTATCTGACCTCCGTCCTCCCCTTCCGTCTTCTATCTGACCTCCCTCCTTCCCTTCAGTCTTCTATCTGACCTCCGTCCTTCCCTTTTAGTCTTCTATCTGACCTCCGTCCTCCCCTTCCGTCTTCTATCTGACCTCCCTCCTTCCCTTCAGTCTTCTATCTGACCTCCGTCCTTCCCTTTTAGTCTTCTATCTGACCTCCGTCCTCCCCTTCCGTCTTCTATCTGACCTCCCTCCTTCCCTTCAGTCTTCTATCTGACCTCCGTCCTTCCCTTTTAGTCTTCTATCTGACCTCCGTCCTCCCCTTCCGTCTTCTATCTGACCTCCCTCCTTCCCTTCAGTCTTCTATCTGACCTCCGTCCTTCCCTTTTAGTCTTCTATCTGACCTCCGTCCTCCCCTTCCGTCTTCTATCTGACCTCCCTCCTTCCCTTCAGTCTTCTATCTGACCTCCGTCCTTCCCTTTTAGTCTTCTATCTGACCTCCGTCCTCCCCTTCCGTCTTCTATCTGACCTCCCTCCTTCCCTTCAGTCTTCTATCTGACCTCCGTCCTTCCCTTTTAGTCTTCTATCTGACCTCCGTCCTCCCCTTCCGTCTTCTATCTGACCTCCCTCCTTCCCTTCAGTCTTCTATCTGACCTCCGTCCTTCCCTTTTAGTCTTCTATCTGACCTCCGTCCTCCCCTTCCGTCTTCTATCTGACCTCCCTCCTTCCCTTCAGTCTTCTATCTGACCTCCGTCCTTCCCTTTTAGTCTTCTATCTGACCTCCGTCCTCCCCTTCCGTCTTCTATCTGACCTCCCTCCTTCCCTTCAGTCTTCTATCTGACCTCCGTCCTTCCCTTTTAGTCTTCTATCTGACCTCCGTCCTCCCCTTCCGTCTTCTATCTGACCTCCCTCCTTCCCTTCAGTCTTCTATCTGACCTCCGTCCTTCCCTTTTAGTCTTCTATCTGACCTCCGTCCTCCCCTTCCGTCTTCTATCTGACCTCCCTCCTTCCCTTCAGTCTTCTATCTGACCTCCGTCCTTCCCTTTTAGTCTTCTATCTGACCTCCGTCCTCCCCTTCCGTCTTCTATCTGACCTCCCTCCTTCCCTTCAGTCTTCTATCTGACCTCCGTCCTTCCCTTTTAGTCTTGCACAGTTGTTCCGGCTCCTCCCCCTCCCTCTGATGTCACTGCACACTGGAGCTTCTCACAATGTACATTAGAAGCTGCAGCAAGTCAGATAGAGCTCCGCCCCATTTCCTGGCTGGAGGACATCCAGCATCATGTAGTACTTTCCTCTCCAGTTTCACTGTCCCTGGCTCCGCCCCTTTCATTCATTGGATTTGGTTTCTTTCAATCGTGGAGGCTCAGCATCACATGTGGGCCTTACCTAGGGTGGTCTGCATGCAAACCTGTCTAGGGACACCCACCCATCAAAGTATTTTGATATTTCCATAACTCCTCCCAAGAGCCGGCCTACTACTTGCATCAGGGTGCCCAGTGACAGAGCTCCTCCTAGTTGTCAATGGAAGCCTAAATTAATAGGTTGCGGTCGTGGTGTGTGTGGCTCTTTGGGGGGAATTACCCTTCACTTCCTGTCCTGAATACACAACAGGAAGTGAGAGGAAATGTCTCCAGGTGGACAAAGCATGGGTTCACTTTAAAGCCCAACCCCTCTTCTCCTGCAGCGGTGGGCGTGAGCACCGCCCAGAACCAAGGTGATCGCAGGCCAGCGGGCGTGTCCATGACAGCCTGGGGGGGGGTGCCCATGACAGCCTGGGCTCACAGGTTGTGGACTGAATGACACTGAGCGTCATTTAATCCATAAGAGGAGTGGCACTGGGTAGCAGAGCGTTATGTCTGCGCGGGACAGCGTTGGAGGGGAGTATCGCAGCGAGAAATGAACAATCCGGGCTTCTTATTTGTTTTAAATTTAGTGTGAAGGTGAAGTTGGGCTTTGCATTAAAAAGTTTGTACCGAGCTGAGGATTTATCTTTTTATTTATTGTGATTTTATTTCCCCCAAATGAAGCCCTTCGCGTCCTCGCTGTGCCTGCAATACGCGGCCGATGAGTGAGAATTAACAGATAATAACAATAAATGGGGCGCAATTCTCACCTGCCACCTGTTACATTTTCATTATCACCCGATATAATGACCCGTCCCCGCTCCCTACGGCCGGCTTGTCAGGACGCGTTTCATTTCATTTTCCCTTTTTATTATCCGGTCAGAAATAATAAAGAGTCTTTGTAACCGTCTTCAATCAATATTAATTGATTGGCCAGTAAGGGGCCCATTGCCGGAGCCCGCCGTCCTAATGTCCTGTTTGATGGCTCAGGCGGCTCTGACCTCTCCGGGCCACCAGTCAGGTA